CCCAATATTCCCTTCTTTATTTTCCTAATAATTAACCAAAGTCAAAATCTTCCTCACATGCTTTGGTTTCAATTCAGAAAAGTACATGAAGGCCATAATGGCTCATTACCCACAGCTGAAATGCATATGGAAATGTTCCTGTGTATTTCAACCTGCTTTCTCAAGGAAAGAATAGAATTTCTTACCCTTGAGATTTTGGGAATTAGCAGAAAATGGACATGATTTCAGTGCCTGGGAGATGGTCAAATCTATGCCAGTTACAATTAGTGGAAAGCAGGTGAAAGTCCTAGAAGTCCCTGAGAGTGGAAAGGACTGATATTTTCTAGAGGAAGCTGGCAGTACCTTCAGGTGAATGTTAACGAGCTTAAGTCAGGAAGAAAAGCAGAAGCTGTTAAGATGAGAATCAGTCTGTACATGTAAAGAGCTGAAGCGAACTGATGATGTGTTAATTAGCTTGATAGTGGGAATGATTTCATAATGTATGCATATATCCAATCATCACATTGTAGATCTTAAATATATATAATTTTTATTAGGCAATTAAGCCTCCATAAAGTTAGGGATTAAAAATAAAAAGCTAAAGGAGCACCTGGGAGCCTAGGCACTCTGCAGGGACCACGGCATCCTGGCCTTTGGGAGGGAGCAGTACAATACAGGGAGGCAGACAGAGCCCTTTAACCCACTGACCTCTTTTAATCTGCTTGTTAGCCCAGCCGCAGACAGGCCCAGGGGGTCTTTGACCAATGCCTCTCTGGGGAAAGGTCAGAGGTCAGGGGCACATTCCCTCATCATCATTATTCTCAATTATTCTTCATGCAGAGCCACTTTCTCCTTGCTTTTGAGGAAGAGCTCCCATAAGTGTTTTCCAAGACGCTGAAGGGTGATAACCCAACCCATTCCCACTATCCTCCCTCGCAGGATCTCCCTGATCAAAGGGGCTACGATGAGATTGCAGTGAACAGAGAGGCCACTCAGAGAGAGAACAACAGCAGTGAGCACATTCATGCAGACTCACCTCAGCAGCAGGCCCTGCAGTGCTCTAGGAGGCATCCAGTGTGTCAGATAAAGCAGTTCAAGGCACAGCCTTTGCCTTCAGACAAAGCAGCACTTCTACAGTTACTAGTTCTGGACTCTTAGGCAAGCCATTTAACTTTCTGAGCCTTAATTTCCTCATCTGAATGGGGATAATAATAGTTTTTATTTCTGAGGGTTGTAGAAAAGGTGAAATCGAATCCTGCATGTAAAGCTCAAAGTAAAAGTTCAATGCATGTTAGCTATTAATATGATTTTAGTAATTTAAAAAAATATTTCCTTGATGATAAATGTACTATATGAGCATTGTACAAAATTTAGAATATAAGGAAAAGTATAGACAAAACAAAAAAATCCTGGTAGCTTTCCCCAAGAGTTTGGCACTATTAACTTTTGGGAGTGTTTCCGCTGGGTCTTTTCTCTGTGTGTGGAGAAATGCACACACTACTGGTTCACCTGTCATCATAAGAGCAATATTCACTGCCCACTTACTAATTGCAGAACGCTGAGCTCAAATCAGATACATTTTTTTCCCCTAATTTTTACTCTAATTCTGTGAGGCACTGTAGTCTCCATTTACAACAAGAAAATCAAAGATCAAAGAGGCGAAGCAACTGGCCCACATCACAGGGCAGCAGCTCCTTTCCAGAGCTCTGGCTGCAGGTCTCTCTGACTGGACAACCTGCACTCTGGGCATTAGCACAGGCTGCCAGGGGCACCTCTCTCAGAGCCTTTCCTCTCACCATTCTTGGGCTCTACCACTCATCAAAGAATACCAGCTGCTCCAGAAGTGGCCTCACTGTTTCTCCTTGCTCTGCCAAAGAATCTAAAAGAAGGGAACTGGGGCAGGGAGGGAAGGTGTTAAGAATGTCAGCACCTGGTGGCTCACACCTATAATCCCAGCACTTTGGGAGGCCGAGACTGGTGGATCACAAGGTCAAGAGATTGAGACCATCCTGGTCAACATGGTGAAACCCCATCTCTACTAAAAATACAAAAATTAGCTGGGCATGGTGGTGCACGCCTGTAGTCCCAGCTACTCGGGAGGCTGAGGCAGGAGAATTGCTTGAACCCAGGAGATGGAGGTTGCGGTGAGCCGAGATACACGCCATTGCACTCCAGCCTGGGTAACAAGAGCGAAACTCCGTCTCAAAAAAAAAAAAAAAAAAAAGAATGTCAGCACCACCACAGAATGTTCTGTGGCTGTGCCCCAAGCTTATCCCCTCCCAATGGGTGCTTTGAGCCTGGGCAGTCACCTCCTCTCACTTTCATCAAAGGCCTGTGACCCAGTCAGATGGGATTTGGACAGATGTAGGATCTACCAGCTACTGCCTTCTCTCCTAGGTGGGCAGGTGCATTTCTGCCATTCCCCTGCAGAGATAACATATAGAGATGCAAGTCTGACCTCTCATTACTTGGGCCTTATTTTTTATCCAATTGTCTTAAAACAGAACATGAAGCAAGACCATCTACAAAAATCATCTGCAAGCAAAATTCTACTATTCAAACAAAACAATGAATTTTCAAGCTGTGGGTTAACTGATTTCACCTTTATTGAAGTGCATCAATGATAAAAGTTCAGGCACCCACCTCTGGCCCCAGGCCCCATTCTGGGGTGGTTATTCACACACAATTGACTGCCAAGATGTTCCCAGGGAGCTCCTTCCTGCTGAGGGCCACTAATGATTCAAAGGTAAGAAAGGTTTGTTTTCCCAGAGCCTGTTAGAAGACCCAATCATTCACCCAACAGTACAACGTAGAGTGGAGACAGAGATTATGTCTCATTTACCATTGAAGAAAATAATGATAGTTCCCATTAAATAGACAAATATGCTTCAAACTCTATCCTGGATCATGTTCCTATATTATCTCATTTCATCTTTTCACAGCCTGGGGAAAGAGAGTTGTGAAACAGCCTTTTACAAAAGAGGAAAACTGATTCAGGGATTAGTAAGTAGCAAGGCTAGAATTCAAACCAAGAATCATCTGCAAGCAAAATCTTTCACAACAAACAGACACCAAGGCTGTGCTCTGCACAAAAGACACAATAAGTAACTGATAAATTGATTAATTGATACATGAATGAACAAAAAGCAAACTAATGATATGTCAGCTAATGATGTATCAAGTGGTTCCTAGGATTCACAGAAAAGCTGAGGCTCATCATTGAGGATATCTGAGACAATCCAGATGCCAAGATCCAGTCATGCCTCTTCCTATATGGGCTCTGGGGCAGTGGGGTGTACTGGACAAAAACTGCTACTCCCTTGGGGTTTCCCAGTTGCTTGAGCTCCTCTAGCCCCTCCTCCACCTCATGGGAAGGGGGTACTTTGGTGGACCATAACTACCTTGGTGGTCCTCACAGTTAATTTGAAAAGTGAGACAGCTCTAAAGATTCAGGCAGACCCAATAAAGGCTGACCTCTGACCGGTGTTGAGGAAAGCTCCCTCCACAGACTAATGGGGCAGCAATACTGGAATGGAGAAGACATCTCAGCCCTTACCAGGGCCACCTGCCACCAAGCTCCAGAAGCCATCCCCTGGGAGGCTCCATGTTTTCCCTGCCTGGCAAATTATTCTTTTTCTTCTTTTTAAAAAAGCATTTAGGACTGGCAACCTGACCCTATGCAGTTCAGATTAGGACCCAGCTTTCCTATGCTGCCTGTTAGAGTGGCATCTCAGGTACAGCTTGGAGAGAAATTACATGAAACTCTGGCCTCTTCTACACCAGTCTGGTTGGAGAAAGATTCCAGGAAAGGATTAAGGAGCTAGAATCATGGTATAGTACAGCAAAGGTGCACAACGTCTGCTAATGTTACAGCACATTAAACGAAGTTGTAAAATAGTAGCTTAAAGTTAGGCAGGCCAAACATAACACAAGAAGTATGAAAAGCAAGGTGCCATTTTTCCAACAAATAAGTTCATTATATGAATACTCAGCTTTAGTTGATTTAATATCTTGGTATCCAATGTAGCTGCTGTGATTTTTTTTAGTAGCATCTTTAAAGAGCTCACACCAGTAATTATGATTCCAGTTTATTAATAATACCTATTTCTTATTGAATTCTTATTATATGCCAGGCAATCTACAAATACGATTTCTTACCCTGGCACTAGTTCTACAAGGTGGGAATTTGCCCCATTTTACTGAGGAGGAAACTGACATCCAAGGGTGTTAACCGACTTGGCCATAGCACTGGCTGACTTTAATGGGGGAATTATGGTCCCCGCCAGTTGAAACTATCCGATAAAAAAACAATTCACAAAAGCAAAACCCAGAGATTTCCGATCACATTTCCTCATTGAGATGGAGAAACAACTCAGGCTTCTTTGGGCAGCGAGGAAAATCCTTCTATCATCAGCTCTCCCGGGAGTGATGGGCGGTTATTTTTGAAAACGGAGGAGGGAAAAAGTACCTGCAGCCTGGATGGTTCTTTGCAAGCTTGAAAGAGAGCTAAGCCATTGTGAGAGGCGGGAGAAAAGGAGGACGCGGTACATACTCACTCGGGGCTCGTGTTTTCCCCGCAAATAAGCCAAACCGCAATAGAGATCAACCGCTGTGTGCACCCCAAAGTAGCAAGGCACAATGGGGGCTTGGGGGAGGCAAACCACGCTGTCTCGGGACCAGCTGTGAGGGTGAAGATCTACTTGTAGGAGACAATCCCAGCGTGTGCAAACCAAGAGAGCTCCAGGAATTCGTAGGTGGAAGGGACAGAGAGATAATGCAGCCCAGTCCCAGCCCACTTCAATCACTCACAACCACAGACATACACACACATCGACTTTCGTGGTTTAAACATACACCTCCCTGAGATCTAGCTTCAAAACAATAAGGGAGATACCAAGTGCGGAATGCACTTCAGGGGCTTTCCACCACCCGAGCCAGTTCCTAAAGGGGATGGGGGGCGGGGTGGGGGGATTAAAAAGTAGAGCAGCGCCCAGGGGGTGCGGTCTGCAATCCACCCTTACCAGCTTCATGGTGGTGTTATTCTGTTCCCAGCGCCACAGCATCACGCTCATCTTACTTCAGGGCGAGGAAGGAAGGGGCAGAGGAAAAAGGAGGGGGGAAAAAAAAAAGGAGCCGAAGCACCTGCCCGCGCACCCGGCAGGTCGGGCTGTCCAGTCCCCGGTCTCCTCTCGGCCGCGGCCCCTCTGGGCATCCCCGGCGCCCGCAGCCGCCTCGCCCCCGCCTCTGGGCAGCTGCTGCGCGCGGGGACCCTACCCTTGCGCCCGGCGCCCGCGCTGCCCGGCTCTCGTGCCTCCCTCGCTCGCTCCTCGCCAGCCTCCCCGCCTCCGCCAAATCAAACAACTCCCCCAGCGTCCAAGCGCCCGCTCCTCGCAGCGCGGAGGCCGCTGGGGCCGCGGCAGCCGGGGGCGAAGGGGGGGTCGGAGGCCGGCGAGCTCCCCGCCCCCTCGCTGGCCGGCGGGCCTCCCTGCGTGGCCCCCGGCGCTTCAGTGGGGCCGTTCGCCACCGCTGCGGGTTGGAGCGAAGGGGGAAAGATGGTAGGAGTTGGTAGGAGGATACTTAACTATTTCGGGGAGGGCTTGGGTAGTAGGGAGAGCCTTGGGCAGAAGAGGGGTAGGGGTGAGGCAGTGGGAAGGGTCTGCGGAGCGGAGCGTCTCCACTGGTTCTTAGCCCACACACTAGCCAGCGCCTCACCACGCGCCGCTCAACTCTATCCGCATTTTCTTTCTGCACCGAACTCAAGTTGTCCGAGTCGCCTCCCCCTATAGCAGCTGGAACTAGGGCTGCAGGATGGGTGCATTTCTGACCCCCAAAACTTTAACACCCCTCCACACACATACCCTGCCCCAGCCACACGCTGCGTCCACAGCAACATTTATTTCCTGCCACCTGAAGGGCAGAGTTTGGGTATTTCCAGACACACCTGGTCTGGCCACTGCTGCAGAAAGGACATTCAAGGCCCTCCGCAAAGGAGGAGGGGTCAGGCAGCAACAGAGGAGGCAGCCTGTGGCCTTTCTTTCCTCTTCTGCCTCCTCCACCTGCCACAGGCCCCCTGTGTCTTCCTTTGACGACTGGGGACCTCCCTACCTTCCTGCCCAACCCTTGTCCTGGGTCCAACATCCTCTCATATGGCAGTGACCCTCCAGGGGTCCCCAACTTTTGGACATCCTGAAAAGGCTCAAGAATCCTTCAGCTCCCAAGGCAAGATGGCTCTAGCCACCCAGACCTCGGAGCTTGTTTCTGATTTGGGCAGCCATGACATCTTAGGTTGGAAATCCTGGCTCCCCTGCCCAACTGGGAGAGAGCTATAATGAGAACTCACGGATTGCCTTATTATATATTTATTTCCGTAGTCAAAACTGTTCATAATGAGGAAAGGTGATAAAATTGGTCCTAATCTTTTTCATCCTAATCTTTAAAACATGTCAATTAGATCAACATGTCACCCTACCTAAACCTTCCAGGACTTGAAAGGTTTCCTTTCCGAGTTTAAAAATCCCAACTCTCTTCTATGACCTGCAACCTGATCTCCCACCCTCTGTCCCTGGCTGTCGATGCTGCAGAACAGTGGCCCACTTTCTTCTTCTCAAACACATCCAAATCACTCCTTCCTCAGGACCTTGGCAGTGATAATTCCTCTCCCTGGAGCACTGTTTCCCCCAGATTTGCCCATGGTCTCCTGTCTAATGTCACCTCTGCATGGGGACTTCAGACTTCTAATGTCAAACCTTGTTCCCACACTCTCTTCCACTCATTACTGTTGTCTTGTCATTATTGTTTTGCTTACTAAGTTAACTTAGCTAACCTGTATTGTTGTTTTATTCTGCCTTGTCCCACTAGACTACAAATTCCAACAACCTTGTCTGTTTTGTTCCCCTACTGGTCCCCAGTGCTGGGAACAGGTGTGGCCCATAGTGGGAGCTCAGTAAATGTTTCCCAAATGAAAGGCTGTTGATGATTGTCCTAGTGTAAGTCCATGCAGCTTCCTCTACCGCTAGGACTGAGCCAGACTCAGGCAGCAGATTCCACATTCTGCCTCAGGCCTTAACTTAGATGAAATGACTCCAAGAGGCCCTTCTATGTACATCCCCACACGTACTTCTGAAGAATGAAATGTGGCAGCAATATTTGCTGTCTCAAGGGAAGGGGCACAGGTTAGGACAACACATCAGAAAAGAGAGAGCATGTGTCATTTGAAAAAGCATATTCCATATTAAAATATATTTATATATTTGGAAAACAAATCCTAAAATAACGTTTTTTCCAAAAATAAAGCTTAACAAATCTTATTGGCTAAGAGACCAAACATAAGATATCTCTATCACAGCTTTTTAAAGCCAAGGGTTCTTTGGAGTTGAGTGGGCGATGAAGAATCCAAAATCCTTCTGATTGTGTGAAAATGCTGCAAGATTGGGGATTTATACATTTTCTGGGAAAGCATCATTAGATTCATTGTGCTTTCCAGGATAGCTGCAACATTTATGAAACTACACATCTGCACAAAGTCATAGAATGAGCAATTCGTTTCCAATCTTTGCTGGAAAAAGGTGAAAAAAATACCACTCATGGTACAAGGAGTGATGAGGAGGTGTGGAGGGAGATACAGAAGGTACCTGCCTCAGCTTTAATTAAAGAGAATAAAGCCTGTGGCCTTTCCCTTCAGATCTCACACACTTCAGAGCATAGGTATTCTAGCTCATTTAGCAAACACTCCTTGAGTGTCTACCATGATGTATTTGCCCAGCTTTGTCCAGGGTGTTGAGATTTAGAGAGAATTCCTTGTCTGGTGTGTGTGTGTGTGTGTGTGTGTGTGTGTGTGTATGTGTGTGCATGCACGTGTGTGTGTCCTATCATGAACACACATAATCTAGTAAGAAAATGGCCACATATACCAACAGTTGCAATGTGATGCAACAGGTGCTACAAAAGAGGGCTGTATAGTGTACACCTGCGTCATAAAGAAAAAAGCTGGCTAAGTGCAGTAGCTCACACCTGTAATCCTAGCACTTTGGGAGCCAAGGTGTAAGGATTGCTTGAGTCTAGGGGTTCAAGACCAGACTGAACAACACAGTGAGACCTTGTCTCTACATAAAATTTTTAAAAAAATAGGTGTGATGTGCCTGCCTTGGTCCCAGCTACTTGGAAGGCTGAGGTGGGAGGATCATTTGTGCCCAGGAGTTCAAGGCTGCAGTGAGCTATGATGATTCCATTGTACTATAGCCTGGGCAACAGATCAAGACCCAAACTGTGCAAAAAGAAAAAAGAAAAGAACAATGCACAAGGCCAGGGGTCATGGAAGGACTTCACAGAGGTGATGCTGACCTGCTTCTGGCAGGTTTGACAGAAGGAGAGGAGCATCTCGGGAGGGTGGAATCGTGTGTGCAAGGGTATAGAGGGGAGAAAGTTCATGGCAGGTTCTGTGTGCTCACATCACACGGAGTTATTTGGTAGGCTAGGACAAGCAAGGTCCCTGTAAAGGAGTCTATCTTAATTCTTATAAATCAAGGGAGTGAGTTGTCCAAATTCCCATTTTTGGAAGACCTTGTAACAGCAAGAGGATAGTTATAAAAAGGTAAAGGCTGGAGGGAGGGAGACCAGTTAGATGGCCGTTGAAATCATGCAGGGGATGGGAATGAGGACCCAAGCAAGAAAAGCTGAGTGGAAAAGACAAGTGACATTACCAGCATGATGCTACCAGTGGTTCCAAAGGGTAATGGCTGTGAGTTCACTGGTGTTACGATGCTGTAGACTTGCAGAGACAGAAGTGGCTTCTTAAAACCTGCTCATCCACCAAACCTCCCCCACCACCGTTCTTCTCCTTCCTCCCACTTCCATAATCCCCCACCAAGACCTTTGACATGCAGCAGGAGAAAGACATTAGTCTGTGTTGACCACATGGAACAATGCTTGCGAAGGTCTGTCCTGAAGTGTGGTCTGTTCCTCCCAGCCGTTGGCCTCTTTTTTCAGCTCATGGCTTTCTGACCCATCCTCTGGGCCTCACAATTCAGTGTTGACCCTGGCAGGCAGTTCTTCATTGCCTGCTTATCCCATCTCCCTGAGCATGATTGTTCTTGAACTGTCATGGTAGCCACGAGGTAGAGCCACACCATTCTGGTACTGTGGAGCCCCTGGTGGGGCTGACCCCTCAGAGTCAGGATCTGCCTTTCACTGAGTGTCCTCTGTTCCAGATATTTCCCATAGTTGCCTTCAAGAGGCCTGTCCCATGCTCATTCCTACATCTGTCTCCCATGCTTCTCTGAATTTTCAGTACCTGCCCAGCTATGGCAGCCACATGATAAAAATCTCCTGAATGAAAGTTGTACTGTCCATCTTGCTCATCAAGGCAGAATGAAGAGGGGAGATCAGGCCAGGAGGCAGGGTTGAGGCCTGGCATCCCAAAAGGTACCACTGGTACTTCCCTGAGCAAGAGCTGCTTATCAGTGGACCTTCTTTTCCTCACTAAGAAACTGATGATCTATAAAGTTCCTTCTCACCCCTAAATTCTGCACGGCCAACCCCTGTCTGATAAACTAATTTGTGTCCAGCTGTTAATGGCTTAATGTGTTTCCCAGATAACGTATTTCAGTTTAACAGGGGTCTTCCACTCTTTCAGCCAAAGCGATGACTAATGGGAAAAAGCTCAGACATGGTGGGGGCCGGACAGGGGAACTTCAGACAAAGTAGGCTCTCTAGACTGCTTCCATGCGTGATGTGGGCTGACGCCTCTCCACCCACGCATGAGGCAAGGCTGATGGGGGGGATGTCAGCTTTTACATGGTCTTAGAATGACAAAAGAAGGATAAGAAGCAGTGTGGCACCCCATGGGGAGAGGGAATGAGCTAGACAGCTTGTCAGAGCGAGCCCATTCCCCCCCACCCCCGCCTAAAATAGCTGGGCTTGAATATAAAAATATCACAGAAGAGCTTCGCATTGCATGTCACATGAAAATCCTAGCCATAGTAGTGGCTATTTATTGAGTGTAGTACGGGGCACCTTTCACTTTCTCAGCACAGCAGTATTGAAAAGGATCCTTTTTCCTATTTTGCAGATAAAGGCTCAGAGAGGGAGAGTGATTGGCCCTGTTTATCTGATTTGGAAGCCACCAAACAGGAGTAAAACTCAGGCTTCCCTGACTGGTCCTCTATCTCTGCAGTTGTCATATTACACGCAGGAAATGAAACCCCAGAATTGCCATCTCTGGGATAATGAAGACAACCTGTGTGCAGACATTTTTGCAAGTAGCTTAAAGATTTAACGTCTCTTTCCTACTCTGGGGGTACCCAGAGACCTTGGATATAAAGGAACAAGATGTATAAAAATTAAAATAAAAGGCTTGTGGAAGTACACAGCTGGTAGGCTTTTCAGAACTTGAGAGTTGAATTTAAGAAAAGCGCTAATCCTTCCTAGAGAAGAAAGGACTGCTGTCCACAAGTCAGCGACAAGGAAGGCCTGAGCACAAGAGGTGCTGTCTCCCCTCCAGCAGCCTTGGAGGGGAGTAAGCCTGCTACCAAAAGGTCAACCATGGAACACTGGGGTCTGCAGGGGGTCGCAGGCTGTTGGAGGGTTTGAAAGTAAGATGTATGGCTTGCAGGAGGGCAGATACAATGTCACACTGACAAGCCTACCCCGAATGAATATGCCCCCAGAAAGGGCTGCACTGGGCTAGCAAAGGATTTCTCTCCCTCCTCTCTCCCCTTTTCTTTTTTCTTGAGATAAAGAATTATGTAAAGGCATCTCCCCAATGCACATACTAAATGCCACTGCATTTAGTGTTTTCCCCTGACAGGGTTTAATTTGTCATTTCCTGGCTCCCCCCACAATTCAGATACTTTCTTCCTTCTAATGGTGGGGGTCAGGTAGGAGTTGAGAATTTCTAGGTAGAGTCGACTCTCCTATCACTCCTCCCAATGTCCCTGTGGGCTGCCTACTCTTCTGGAGTAGGTCATACATGGTAGCACCTCCATGCCTTTCTTTGCTCAGGCTGTTCCCTCAGCATAGAATGCTTTCCTTCCATTCTCTGCCAATTGATTCCACACTCATCTTTCAAGACTCAGAGCAAAACTAACTTTGCTGGTGAATTCTCAGATCCTTTCCACTCATCAGAAGTATGTATATGCTCTTAGTACTTTGTTTCTGTCTCCCCTACGGCTTTTATAATAGTACAACTCCTCTTATAGAAGGGGACGGATACACTTCATTTGTTGTTATGGGTGTCAGCATCGCCATTAATATTATTACAACTGATTATAAATTGCTTAGGAACAGGTACTCTATCTTATTCATCTTTGTACATTCAGAATAGTACTTGGCTTATCATTGGTATAATTAAATGGAATTAACAGATTCAGTGTCAGAACTACAGGGGGTTTAAAGATCATCCCTAATTTTCCAGAAGAATCTGAGTCCTCTCTATAGACCCAATTCCACTGTACCATCAAAAATATAATGAAAATAAACTGCACTGAAAGTAAAAGCCAGAAATACAAGGCATAAAGGCATCTTGGGTGAGACCTCAGGAAGAAATCAGAAATTCATGATGCCCTCACCAGTCTAAAGATTCACTTGTTTGCTAGGAATCTGGATATGTACTTGACATTTTCTTTTAAATATTACCAGAAGGAAAGCTTTTGGAGAGCAAAGATTACGTGTCATTTCTCTCTATAGCCCTCAAAACACTGCAAAACATAGAAGGCGCTCAGGGTAAAAAGTTTCAGGATGAATGAATGAATAATTGAAGACTAATCTGAAAGCTCCAGGGTAAGTGGTTTTTTACTTATTCAAGCAGACAAACTGGTCCCAAGCAACCCAGGGCGCATGTCCCAAGAGCAGACGTGCTATTCCTTTGAATCTGAGGGTTGCCAGGTGCCCCTGGCATTTATTTGCTCTATTCAACATCCGGGGCCTGAGGACTCCTTCTCCAGCCCCCTCCCCACCCACCACCTCAATGCTGCAGATAAGGGTTGAAAATTGTGCAATCTTTGGGAGACCTCTGACCTCCTTTGAAGGGCCTCCATGCTGCTGGTCCTCCCTCCTCCCACCCTCCGAGGAGCTGTACTGTACCTCTAGGCTCAGGGTATGGGGACCTGCGGCCATTTTGGGAATTGCCTTAAAGACTCGTTTTAGGCATAGCTAGTCTACTTAGGT